TTTTTTTTTTTTTTTTTTTTTTTTTCCGTGTCGGGCTGTAGCCATGTGGCGAAACGTGTAGATGGCTCCGACATTCCCGACCATGTGATACTGTAGTTTGCTGTAAGTAGTTGTACGATGCAAAGCAGCCAAACTTCACACAGCCTTGCCAACATATGAGCGCAAGCAATGTCAACGATGGCCGCAGCTGAAGGCACGTGTGCTTGGCTAAGGAAATTAGACCCAGCTTCACGTGCTGGATTAAAGTTGGTCAAGTAGCTACTCTTCGCTTCACTGTCAGGGGGCGTTTGTTGTTTGTTTCGTGCCTCACTCAAAATTTGCAAGTGAGCATCCAAGCCACACCAAGGTTTATTAGACAGCAACAGTGGTTTGCGGACATCGACATTTCATTTTTTGCACCCGCCAAGCTAGTCAGCCTTGGTCAACTCCATTTGAGCCTGAAGCCTCCCAACTGCCATCTATTGTTGCCAAGCAAGTTTCACGCACAAAGCTCGTTCCTCAAATTCCCTGTTGGATTGTTGCAATTGATGCAGGTGACGTCTCGAAACGAAGCGGGGGATGTCTGCGAGTCGTGCAAGTATCAAGCGAGCCGTGCTTGCGGCCCGAATATTGAGCAAATCTGACAAATCTGACGACACACGGGAAGCAAAAGGCTTGCCAGATCATCGCAAAGATGACTCCAAGCTGCCCACCGCAGAAGCAGGATTTCGAGGAGGATCCGTCGCTTCCAAGACACGAATCAGGAGACAGCTGTCGAGGCGACGAAGCAGCTCAGGCCCGGATTCCGGTCTGCTGAAGTTTCCGATGGCGGGTAAGATCCGCGAAGATGACAAGAGCTTGCAAGGTAAACTTTCTTTGTCAAGATCTCGAAGCTTCGAAACAGATGCGTGGCCGGTTTGGTCTAGTCTTGCAATTGAATTCTGCGTCCACCGAGTCCCCCTGAAGATTTGGAGGGAGAAGGCGTTTCTTGAACGCAGCAAACGCAGTAGCCCTGTAGTTGCAAGTCTACCGGTATCTGTCAAGAATCGCTGTAAGGACGAGCCAGAGCCGATCGATACAGGCCGTGTGACATGCATGGACCCACATTCCAGTTTTCACAGTCCATGCTTCTTCTATGTCCTATGGAGGTGGGCACACACATGGAAATGATTGGATCGGCAACCCTGAAGTCGTTATCGCTGATAGCAATAAATAGTTGAGCTTCATCTAAGCGAAGGCGGCCGTGGAGTTGTAGATGCGGGCGGTCATCTTCGTGCGGGGCCCAATGTTCAGTGAGCACTGTTTGTTTGTTAGTCCCTCTGTGAAAGATCTTGGTCCTCAGCAATGCATTTCCCACAGTATTGTAGGCATTGAGTGGAGGCAACATGGGTTAATGGCAACAGTACACAAGCATGTTTGCAGAAGTGTTTGCCACCTGGACATGAAGGTCTTGAAGACCTTGATGAGGCGGCACAGAAGAACAAGGTCCAGGAAGTGCCATGCTTGGCCTAGTGGTTCAGAAATCTGAGGGCCAGTTTGACTGACAAGAGTACTTTTGATGTCTCCTGGATGCAGGCTCAAGGTCATTTGATTCAGCCGTAACTGCAAGTCCTCGAAGCAAGGCTTTGGATCCACATGCAGCTCTGGGCAGGTATGATTCATGTCACGACAACTAAGGTGATATGGCACATGAACTGTAGGAAACGTGTGCAGTGGCAACAGCGCATGCAGCACACAAGCCCCTGAAGTCCTTGCAACTGTCTTTGTGCAGAGTGTTTCAGCATGGCAGATCCGTTGCTGCAGAGGAGGTGCAGGGCATGTCTTGTTCAAGCATTCCAAGGCTATCATGCAACTGCTGCAAGGCGGAAAACAATGGTTGGGATGACGGTGCCAGATCTGGAGGAACCGTCACATCGACAGTCGCACCCCGGACTGCCTCGAACGGGTATAAAGGCCTGGAGGTTTTTTTTGGAGTTCCTAATTTTTGCACGGACATGTGTAGAGTAACTGAGTCAGGGGAGGAGCCACGATTGCTTCGGGCGCTGTTGGAGGGTGCGAGCATGATTGCAGGGGACAGCAGGCGAGAGAGAGGCATTGCAGCACATGGGCAAAGATGCTGAGGTTTTCCAAGCAGCACACGGCGCCAACTGAAGGGTGGCAATGCGTGCAGACTGAGCGCTTTTGCAGGTTGGGTCACAGATGAACATAAGTCGGGAAATCTTAGGAGACCATTGTCTGCGACTGACAGCTGACATGCAAGGCTGGCTGTTCCGCCAGAAGCCTTATCAAAAATGCACAAGATGCACGAGCTGCTGAAGGTCTGGTCTGGCAGAGAAGTTGTGGCAAGCTCAGGTGTGGCAATTTAGCAGTGTCTGGCAGGCTCAGCAGGGCGAGGCAAGATATAAACTCGAAGACACTTCCGATTCCACCATGGACGCTGGGCCCATCATGTCTCGTGCTGCCACCTGCTGCCGCAGTGACTGTCTAAGGACCTGATGTGGAGTTCGAACTGCTGGCACGTCTTCTCAGAATTACCTGGGAAGTCTGAGGCACCATACAGCCAGAGGTCATGGCAAGTCCGACCACAGGGCGTTTGTGGGGAGTCTGTGCTGAGCGGCTTCGGTGTTGGAGCCGTGAACATGAAAGGTGTGAAGGGCTACGGAGACATGTCGGTTGGTCAGGACTTCTGCAGCATCTCTGTATTGCCATCTGGTTGGCATGTGTATTGCCTTTTTGATGGTCATGGCAGCAACGGGCATTGGCCTGCAGAACGCGCATCTCGTACGCTGCCTTACCTTTTAGAGGCCACCCAGGCTTGCAGCACGATGCTCAGGCAAGACCGTGTGGAGGCAGCCCTTTACCATGCTTTCGAGAAGGTTCAAATGGACCTGGTCCGACAGTCTATACAACGAGATTTCGAGTTACAGGTATGCGGAAGTACAGCCGTGTGCGTGATGCAACACCCTCGGCATGATAAAATCTGGGCTGCAACCTTAGGGGATTCGAGAGCCGTACTGCTTGTCCCAGGCAAGGGAGCCGTTGCTCAAACCAATGACCACAAGCCCTCGGTGGAGACAGAACAATCCCGGGTTGAGAGTCTCGGTGTTGAGATACAAAGACAAGTTCACGAAGATGGGTTTGTTGAGGAACGACTCTTCATTGTGGGAGAAGATTTTCCAGGCCTATGCATGACACGGTCCTTGGGCGATTTGTGCGTCAAAGACCATGGAGTTATCGCGGAGCCAGAGGTCATTTGTTGGAACATCAGCAACTACCCAGACAGTTACGTGCTGATTGCCAGTGATGGTATTTGGGACTGCTTCACGTCCGATGAAGTTGGTGATTTGGAGCCCTGTCCGCAAACAAGTTTTGGGTGTTTTCTTCTTGCTTGCTTTTGGTGTGTTTTGCTCAGCAGTTTGTATTTTGCATGTCTGCTTCTAGCATGTTCGGCATCAACTGATCAGGTCTTGGATTCGATCTCCGCAGGTGATTCCCTGGAGTTGGCGACGAGCAAAGTCTTGGAGACAGCGAAGGAGCGATGGCGCGACTATGAGGAGCACTACTGCGCATCTCGCTCATTTGTTGCTTCGTACGTGCACGGATATCTCGGCATTTCATGGTAAGGTTGGTATGCAATGGTCCTCAGGGTCTGACTTAAGGATGATGTGACTCTGATTCTCTTCCACTCGCAACGAAAAGTTGCAGGCATGAGTTAAGCCTTGCATGGATCAGCTCCAAATCTTTACACCTGACATCACCTGAAATTTGCTCCCGTATCAGGCCACGAAGATGCCTGGGTACATGCAAGACGAGAAGGATGTTGCTCTGCAGGCCTGAAGCGATTGGGTGGCTTGTTGGAGATATTTTTCTGGCAGAGCAGTTGTTTTGGTGCATGGGGACTGCTTGCATCCCAAGGCTGCAACATCATGTGACTCATGACTCCGAAGAGCGCGAAGGTGCGCCATTGTACATGCCGCTGGATTTTAACTCGTCTGATAGTGTACAGATTTGCTTTCTGTACGCAGAAGATGATTTGTTGGACTTCACCTCATGGTCTTTAACGACATGGCGCTATGCTTGAAAGAAGCGAGAAGACGAGTTGCTGATAGTTGCTGGATGTTTTCTGGTCGGTGTCAGATCGACTGTGCCGCCAAATGGCTGGCCTTGATCCCTTGGAGGTTCTTCGAGGGGTCGTTTAGGCTGGAGGTGAAGAGCTCCTCCACGCACGCGTCTTGTTTGTCTTGCTTCCTGCTGGGTGCAGCAGTGCAGCACAAACCTTGTGCTAATGCTATTTGTGGCAGTCATGTGATCTTGGTTGCCTGTACAAGCGTGCCAATGTGTACCCGTTAAGGCTCACGTTGCACCCGTCTTGGGTGGTCTGGCGGCGCTGAAGGTGTTTGTTGCATGGGCAGCATCCAAAGATGCTAAGTCATGAACGTCGCTTTCAGGTCAAGCATCGCCTGCAAGCACTTCATCAGGCATTTGGGCTGAGATGATCGCCAACTCATGATTGTTTTGCCTTGCCCCTTGAGGAAGCAAAGAAGAGACAGCCTGCACTTCCAAGTGTTGGTCCTTCGAATCTATCGGTTACAAATGCCACTTGGAGTGAATTAGATGTCGTTCTAGTATGGACTGCTTGCACAAATTTGTAGGCTTATAGCCTTATAGCAAGAAAATCCTTGGTTGCTTCAGGCCCCGCCGGCTGAGAAGGTGCCTGAAATCTCAGCAGCGGCGCCGAGCCAGAACCAAGCTACCAACAGCATGGCAGCCTTGGTATCGGCTGCAAGGCCGGGGGAGTGCCAACAGCCTTGTGCACGGTAGCTAAGCATCAACGCTGCAGGACTACGCTTCCCAAGTTTTTATCGGGAGCATGTGGACTGGAAGAGGCTCGAAGCCAGCACACTGACTCAGGGTCAACCATCCTGGCTCGGTTGGGGTGCCGTGACTTTTCCATCAGGGCGCAGAGCAAACATGAGCAAACGCGTACCAAAAAAGCGGTCCTGAACCGCCTCCTTGTGCTGTGATGCAACTGGCGGCTAAACCATTCTGACAATAAAGCGACACAGACAAGGGAGGGACGCGGCAGTCCATGACCTTTTTCCCTCTAAAAGACTAAACGACCCTTCCTGTAAAACATGGCCATGGGATGCCACGGGTGAGTCTGGCATTCTGTGCGCAGATTCCAGGAAGCAGAGATCAAAGCTCTACTCGGAGAGGCGCGCTCTGCAAAAAGTTTCATTGGGGAGTGCTCGCCAAGACTCCATGCAGTGGGCAGGTAGACAAGGACCTCCTAGACCTTATCAAGGAGGTGGGGTGAAGATTGGTGAAGTATGCAACAAATTCATTTCGTGAGCAGCATGAATGCTCAAGGTGAACCGCGTCCTCACATGGTTGTTCAATGATTCGGACACAGACTTCGACAATCGAATCACTTACAGCCAGCTGAAGGCGGTGTGGCGTTAGCAGCTTGAGCACCTGAGCACTTGACTTTATGAAATGCCCAACCCTTCCGCTGCCATACTTCAGCTTCTGAGATGATGGTACAAGCCTGCATTTGTCACTGGCACAACTCTCGGCTCCGTCAGATGTGCAAGCGGATAGGCCAAGGTCCGGGCAACATTGCAACAACTTGGCAGTCCTGGAATCACATTGGCTTTTGGCTAATTTGCTGCAATCATTCTGTGACTGAAGCAATGGAGCTGGAGGAACAGGTGAAAGCCCTGGAGGCTGGAAACAGTGCAGCGTAAGATTTCTGGACAGCCAGAGAGTGTTTTGAAACTCTGCGAGTGAGGACCGTGTGAAAGCGTTGGAGGCTGGCTGACACCGAGACGCGAGTAAGTTGAGGTTGGTGAACTAGGGTTGTGAGCGACATATTCACAGGTCCGCCTGGCTGCTTGCGCTCGCAGCAAGCGTTTAGGGAGCCTGGGAACACTTGGGAAAGTGCACTTGTGTAAAGGGCTTGGTGGTGGTGTACAGCTTCACAGGCAGACGGCTTAGGAACCAGACAGCGCTGGAAAATTGTTGCCAACAGATGCCAAGCGACAATTCTTCCCACCTTCGATCATTCTGCAGGGTAGCTCACGGGCGCATGGAGCAGGGCCCGCCGCGCCCGAGCGGACCTTTTTACCTGACGCGAGATAGTAGGCAGCTCATTTTGTGGGAAGAGGAGTTTCCTGTTTCAGACGCCTGTAGGCCGGAGGCCGGACCGAACATTAGATTTGCATAACTGCATGCTTGTCATTGCTTGTCTTTCAAGTTTCACTTGTCATTGGTTCAAGCACTGACTTCTGCAGAGTCTGAGCACTTCGTTTGCTCAGCTTTTTTTTTGTAGATTTGTTTTTGCTGGCTTGATCTGAAATGCCTGTACTGTAGAAGTTTCTGGTGTGAGTTGCATACACAGAGCAGGGATGCCAGGAAGTTTGGATGGTGGCTTTTCATGAGCACCAGCTTCGAGTTGATCAGGGAGGTCGCGAGGCGCTGTGTTCAGCAACTCAGCCGTGCGATGACTCATAGGGATGTGGGCCTTGGAGGACCTGCCAGAAAGGCTGGCCAGGGCGCTTGGGCCAGTGCAGGACTAGACTGCGATATGACAGCTCATTTGCTTCCCCTTGTTTCAGAGGACCTTGAAGCCCAACTGGTCTTGCTCAGAGATGAGGTGAAGGCCCAGATGGGGTTCATTGGCTTCTGTACCTTGCCGCTCTCCAGGCTGATGGCCAGCGTGCACGCATTCCAAACAGCTATCCCAAGCGCTAAGCACTTCTGTCAACTGTTGGGCATTGTTATGGTTCTAAAGGAAACTCATCAAGCACGTGCTGGATCAGTTTCCTGACTGCAGCGAATACGTTTTCTGTAAAGGCGCATGGCCAACATTTTGAAACTGTGTCCTGCCAGGCCAGACGTAAACGTGACTTGCCAGATTGGTCGTCGGCAGGATATTAAGCCAAAAAGATCCAGTGAATGTGAAGCCAAGCCAACTTGGAAACTGAATATTGAAAAGCCTCGTTGGATGTAGAATTAGAACATGTGCGTTATAAGGAGATGAGGTAGACGGCACAGTAGCAGACTGGGTAGTCATTCAGGAAATGCAGCAGATTTCTTGCAGATGCCTTGTGTGACAGGCTCAATCTCTCAAAGATGCTTTGGAGCACCAGGCAGTGGTTGTCATACGTCCTTGCAGTTCCTTGAGCAGTTGAATTCATGTTAGACAAGGCTCAGCAGCTGGCAAGACATGACCTGGAAATCAACGAGATTCGAGGAGCGGGCCGCAAGCAAGCCGGGAGCCAATTCTGTATGGCAAGGCGGCAGAAGCCAGTATGAAGCTACCAGCTTGTCGTACCTGTAGGTGACAGAAAGTTTGCCACCTGCGTCGACGCGAGAAGATAGCCCGCTTCTGGGCAAGGTCTAGTTCAGTTTTTGCAGAAACCAACCCATCAACATTTCTCTCAAGCTTAACTTAGGTTTCGCCGTGGCTGCCATGCGGAGGATGCCTCACTGGAGCACGAACTGACGCCTTCTCGTACTGATGGAATGTTTCGGAGGAGCGCAGTGGTGATCTTCAGGCTGGCATTAACGGTACAGTCCTCAGAAAGCTTTTGAGCAGTACACTCTGGCTTTTGGTGCAGGTGTATCTGGACAGAGCAGAATGGCTGGTGTCTTAGCAAACGCTTGGAAGCTGGCAAGGAATTCAGTGGATGCTGCGCGCTTTGTGGTTGATGGAGTTTGAGGGCATGATCAGAACATTTGCGGGGTTTACAAGTAGCCCAGGAATTTCATAATGGCAGGGGGTTTATGATCAGGAAGTCCAGATCATCTTTTCTTTGGTTTCAAAGTAGTCTGCAGCATTTCGAACAAGATGCATCAGTGCAAACGCATCTGAAATGTGATGGTTCTCCGACATCAGCATTGTGAAGGTAAAGGGGTCGCTTAGCAAACCTTTTTTTGGTCGCTTAGCAAACTTTTTTGGGGGTCGCTTGGCACGTCTTTTTTTTGCCACTTGTATGCAGCCATGTGGTCCCTTGAGCCGTCAACCAGACACCCTAAAGCCTACACTTTAAACCCTAAACTCTGAACCCTAAACCTTAAACCCTAAATCCAGACCCCTTAAACCCTGAATCCAAAACCCCTCAACCCTAAATCCAAACCCCTAAATCCAAAACCCCTTAACCCTAAAGCCTAAACCCTAAATCCAAAACTCCTAAACCCTGAACCCTAAATCCAAAACCCCTGCACCCCAAACTTTAAATCCAAAATCCCTAAATCCAAACCCCCTAGATCCAAAACCCCTTAACCCTAAACCCTAAACCCCAAATCCAAAACCCCTAAACCCTAAACCCCAAATCCCAAACCCCCAAAACCCTAAACCCTAAATCCAAGACCCCTAAACCCTAAATCCTAAATCCAAAACCCCTAAAGCGTAAACCCCAAATCCAAAAACCCCTAAACCCTAAACTCCTAAAGCCTAAGCCCTCAACCCAAAATCTGTCCAAAACCCCTGAAGCCTAGACCCTAAATCCAAAACCTTAAACCCTAAACAATCCAAAATCCCGAACCCCAAATCCAAACCCCCTATATCCAAAGCCCCAAAACGCTGAACCCTAAATCCAAAACCCCTAAACCCTAAATCCAAAACCCCTAAACCCTAAACCCCAGATCCAAAACCCCTAAACCCTCAATCCTAAATCCAAAACCCCTCCTAAACCCCTAAACACCCCAAAGTGCCAACCCGGAGCCATAGTCTTGGCGAGCGCTGCTGTGCCGTGCGCCTTCGGCTGCGGCAGGAGGCTTCGGGCGAGCGGCCGCTTCCCTCCAGTTGATCTTCGTCCTGCAGCGGATTCTGGTCTTGTTCTACGGGGGCCCTAAGGGTGTACTTGTAGCTCAGCTTCTACACGATCCTGCGCAGGAACGTCCCATAGTCGGCCCCTATGGCTGACAAAGGAGAGCCTGCCCGCAGAGAGTGCGAGCAACTGGAGAAGATGCTGCAGTCACTGTTTCGCTGTTGCAGCAACTCCTTCAGAGCCAAACGTCTGAGCTCAAGGCAGCTCAACAGGCTGACTTGCAGGTTGCCGTGGATAGGATGGAGGCTAACACGGCCAAACAGCTGGCAGCAGTCCGAGAGCAGATCATCGAAGTGAAGACAGCTATCAAAGACCATGAGGATCAGCTGGGGAGCATCAAGAGTGGGCAACTTGTCTTGGAAAAAAGACTGGTTGCGCTGGAGGCAGGGGGTTCCCATGCGGGATCCACCACTGATGGCGAACTCGGGGGTCGCATGACTGCAGTTGTTGGAGGATGGCCCTCCTACACCAATAAGCAAGACTTGCTGCGCGAGATGGAGAAAATTGTGGACCGACACAACCTCAGCAGTCTGTTGGACGAAAAATTCTTCACAACAGGACTCCGCAGAGGGTTCGCTATGGTGAACTTCCGCCCTAGAACGGGAGAACACCCGGACCTTGCTATGAAAAGACTCATGGATGTTGTTCAGACAATCCGGCTCGCGAGCATTGAAGTCCCTGTGGCAGGGCCCCAGTGTGGACGCTGCTCGATGCGCAAAAACCCAGCCGATGTGAGATAACCCGACCCCCTAGTAGCAATTGCTTGGGGGATCTTATGCCCAGTCGGCCTATACGGGCGCTGCTTGACTCTCAGTCCTTCTTGAACATGTTCACTCCGTACCTACGTCTTTGCCACTAGCATGCTGTTCATCACAAGGAGGTTTGCATTCACGGTGAACAGGAATTGAAGTAGATGTTGGAGCCTCACGAACCTCATCAGAATGACCAGGATGACAGGTTGTATGCCCTGCTTGCTCACTCAGACTTGTAGAACCCGATGGACCCGCGCCGCCAGTTTGTCCGACACCCTCACAAACACCGTCACCCGGAACTTCATATTCTCCTTCACCACACAACCCAGAAACGGACACTGCGTCTGAAACTTCACCTTGTTGAGGAACGGCAGGAGGCACTACAGCATCAGTATCATGTGGCACGAAGGAAACTGGTACATGTTCACGCGGTTCGCGTCTTTCATGACATCCAGGTTCTACAGGAGCTTGCAGTACGGGATGTGGAGGTGCAACATTATAGGGCGCAGGTGCAAGGTCAAGATCACACACATGTTCACAAGGTGCTGCTGATTCATGAATGGCAGGGCGAGGTGCAATGCAGGGAGGTGTTGGCTCATTGCGAAGATCACGCGCAGCTCGACACAAGTGGGAATGCTGTTCACAACTGGGGCCACTACCTGCAACTGCGTCATGGATCTCGCTTGTTAGAGCCATATCACTCCTGCCAGCACTGTCATGTCTTGTCACTGTCCATCTCAGCGTGCTTTCTCTGTTAATTTTTGGAGTCCCTGCAACAGCACTTCTCACTTCACGATGCCCCTGCGCATCGCGTTGGTTCCTTGTCGGGGCATTGCTGGTTGCTGGGGGCCATTCTTCTGTA